TTATAATTATAAATTATTTTATATATAAATTTATAACTTATTAAAATTATAAATTATTAAATATATTACTTTATAATATTATAAATTATTAATATATTAATTATTATAATTATAAATTATTTTATATATAAATTTATATAATTAATAAAATAATTTTTACATAAAAAAAATATATTCTGTTCAAAATTTGATTTCCCGAAAATCGAATTTGAAGGGAAAAAATATCTCGTTCTATATGTGTAAATAATTTGGGGGAGGGTGTGGGACACCTTGTACCCCAACATTAGTACACAATAAATGTAAACAATAAATTTTTTTTGAGTAAATAAAATCTTTCATAATTTGATAACATCGTTCATGGATAAAACAATTGTCTCAAATATCATAAGGTAGAAGATTCACATTCGTAACTCATAAATCATAAAAAGTCAACATGTAAGTATCAAAACTCAAGAAATCATATAAAGGAAAATATAGATTAATTCCAGGAAAGGTGACAGTGCCTCCTAGTTAGGAATTAATTTATAACTTCCAAAATCATGTAATAAAAATAATATGACAAAGATGCACATTTTGGTCTTTTATCAAGAACGTTCAAAATTACAAAAGAAGAGAAAACTAAGGCTTTTAAAATAATAACATCATAAATTAAGCCTAGCTATGCCCGATGTCACATCCTATCAGAGCATGCCTAATTGAAGCCTTAAGCCTCATCACCAACATCCTCATGATGATGATCACCTGCAACATAATTTAAACATATACAAGAACAACAAGGGACTGAGAAACATCTTACTCAGTTTCAGGTGCAGAAATAAAGGTTAGATAGCACACACAACAATCATAAGTCATAAACTCTAATCACATATAAACAATACCTATACATGATCAGTATCACATGTACACTCATTTATCATGCTATGATGTCATGGACTCGACTCATAAATGCATGTATGTGGCGCCATACGGAAGTTTCACATTTCATCACTGGTGACCCTAAGGTACACTTTGTTAGCTTGTTACATCACTGGTGACCCTAAGGTACACCTGGTTACATCATTGGTAACCCTAAGGTACAACTTGTTAGCTTGTTACATCACTGATGACCTTAAGGTACACCTTGTTAGCTGGTTACATCACTGGTATGCGGCCTCAGCGACACACCTGGAGTTATATATGTATATGATGCGTGTCATACATTCATTATTTCATTGACTCAACATTTGACTTATTACAGAATTTCATTTAGTACATCATGTCATCATTTTTCATATTCTCATAATCATAATTTGTCTCAATAGTTCATTCTTATGTCTCATGTCATTTGTGCATATTTCACATAGTCATGTCATAATTGTTCCTTATAAAGTCCGCACAAGAATACACAGAGAGCATTCTTATTCATATTAAAACTTATTTATTTTTAACATTAATTACATATTCATTTATTATTTCCAACAAGGAACAAAGTAGAGCAAACAGAAAGTAAAACATAACACATTCATACTTTGCATGTTCCTAGAAGCATGCAACAGGCAAGGGATTGGGAGCCAATCCGAAAATCAGACTATTCAACAATTATTCTCACATCCCCGAGCGAGGTTTCTCACTCTCCCCTTACCTCGATAAGCAGGAGCTGAAACTTGAGTAGGACCTTGTTACTTTCTTCATCTGGATTCCCTCTTTTTCTTTCTCTCTCTTTCTTTCTCTTTCTCTCTTTCTCTTTCTCTCTCTCTCTCTCTTTCTCTTTCTCTCTCTAAGTTTTCACCCTTCACAGTTATAATTTTTTTCACAGCCCATGCCTCCTATTTATAAGCATTCAGGGGTACCCAGAACGGCACGTACTGAATCCGGAATGGCCCGTTCCGGAGTCATGCGTTATAGGCAAAATTTACAACTAGAACGGCCATTCTAAAATCAAAACGGCCCATTTTCAAAAATCAGAACGGCCCGTTCTAAAATCAGAACGACCCGTTCTGGGGTTCATGTTAACACTTATTGACCATAGTTGGAACGGCCCATTTCCAACTAAGGTTTTTAGGCAAGTTTAGAATCTTGGAATGGCCCGTTCTGGAATAACCCAAATGAGTCTTTTTACTAATTTGGAACGGCCCGTTTTGGTCTCTCAAAATAGTTTACTTTCATCGTTTAGAACGACTCGTTCCACTTTTTAGAACAACTCATTCTGGCCTTAAAAAAAATAGAATTTTATATATAAAAAAAATTTCATAAATAATTTAAATTATTACAAACCTTTACAATATTCTATAAAAACCTCTTTAATTAACTAAAATAACTATAAGAAAATAATCTTCATAAATATAAAAATAAATAATAATTAATATTGTATTAGTAGAAAATTCGGGGTGTTACAGGGTGTGCTTTGGTAATTTTTTTTAAAAAAAATATATTAGTAAAAAATTTAGAAATGAAGAAAGGAATTTTCATTTAGAGTAAGTATTGTCGATTTTTAGTAGTTATTCAACGAATATACTCGGATGGCCCATGGTAATTACTCAAATATTCAAATTTTAGACTTTTTTATATCATTTTTTTATATATCCAACTAACCTCTCACTATTATTTATCAAACTGACCCATTTTTCAACCCAAGTGAGAAATCAACTGGGGAAAATCAATTTCCTACTTGGACCCTATTTTTCATCACATTAAGAAAAATTATTTTACGTTAATAATCAATGACATCGCGTTAGTACATCAGGAATCAATGACACTATGTCAAGAATCAATGACACCACTAGGGATGGCAATGGGGCCCCATGGGGGCGGGTAATAGTAAATCCGCCCCCGCCCCGTTGAATAAAAATTGGCCCCATACCCACCTCATATCCGTGCAGGTATCCATTAAGCGGGTATCCATGAATTTCTTGAATATCCACGGATATCCATGGATATTTATAAAAATTTTAAGAAATTAAAAAAATTATATTACAAATAATTTTAAGTTTATATTTTAATACCATTGAAATATTAAAAATAAAAATTCAATATTAATTTTGAACTTTTATTTAACGTTAATTTTGTTGAAATAATAATAAAAATTCAAGATAATCAATAACTTAAAATACATCAATCTCACAAGTAAGTTGAAGTCTCATCACAAAACTACAATAATTAAATCTCATAATTCCAAATGAAAGTAAATAACTTAAAATACATAAATCTTATTGGTCCAATCAAAGCTAGAAAATTAATCAAATTACATCTAACAATTTTATAACATGTTTAACACATGTCAGTAACTTCATCAACCTCACTTTTGTAAGAAAATAAGATGAGAGAGTGTAGTTTTAGGGTTATGTCGTACAAGGATAATTAGGATATTTAAGAAATAATATTAAACGAGTACCCGCGGGTATGGATATCATCATACCCTCCCCCGCCCCATTTATAAACGGGTAAAAAATTACCCGTCCCCATTATCCGCGGGTACCCAATTAGCCTATCCATTTATTATCCGTAGCGGATTTTATCCACAGATACCCGCGGGTGCGGGTATTTTTGCCATCCCTAGACACCACGTCAGTGCATCACCGCGTCAATAAAAAATGCCTACTCAAGAGAAGTCTGTGGTTGGACATCGAAAAATTTAGTGCGTATGTTTTGCATCTGACACATTGTACCAAATTTCATGAGACATTTCAATAATGCAAAAAGGAAAAAATTGACCACCAACATGGGTATGTAATTTTTATTTATTTATTTTTGAGGAACAATTATATATTTATTTGTATTTATTTTACTATATCTAGTGAATTGTTTTTAAAATTTTATAGCTTATGACATGATAGAGCATAGGTTTAATTACTACTTTAATTATTAAGAAGTGAACTAGAAATTGAAGGTAAAATTGATTGGCTCAACAATATTCCTAGAGACCAATGGACTCTTGCATGAGATGGTGGCCGACGATGGGGACACATGACAACTAACCTAGTAGAGTCAATAAATTCAATTCTTAGAAAAATCATAAATTTGTCAATTTGTGCAATTATCACTTCGACATAAAAAAGATGTAATGCATTATTCATCTAGAGAAGGAAGGAAGTCGATGTTAAACTAAGAGCCGAACAAGTATATACAGAAATCATAAATAAGGCCATCAGAGACGTGGAATCAAAGGCAAACAGTCATCATGTCCTTGAGTTTGATCGATGCAATACACGTTTTCTAGTGCAAGAAATGATTAATCCAAGGAAAGGATGACCAACTAAAACATTCATGGTTAGACTAGATGAGAAGTGGTGTGATTGTGAAAAATTCCAAAAATTACACATGTCATGCTCACATGTCATTGCTGCATGTAAGCGTGTTCACCACCATTACACACATCTTACATAGATCCAATGTACACATTGGAATATGTTTCCAATGTGTATAATGAATTATTTGGAGAACTACCCAATGAATCTTATTAGCCAGATTATGGGGAACCACAAACATTACCAAATCAAAATAATATCGAAAACAAAAAAGATCGTCCAAAATCATCCTGAACATGCATAACAATGGATCACTACAAGAAAAATCAGCATTATCTACGGAAAAAATCCGTAGATAATGATGAAAATCCGTAGATAACGGATAATTATCTACGAAAAAAATCCGTAGATAATAAGGTCGTAGATAACGTTATCTACGAAAAATTTTCCGTAGATAACGTTATCTATGGATTTTATCTACGGATATAGAATTTATCTACGGATGCGTTTATCTACGGAATTTATCTACGGATGCGTTTATCTACGGAAATTTCCGTAGATAACTTACTTACGGAAATTTCCGTAGGTAACTTATCTACGAAAATGTAAGTTATCTACGAAAATTTCCGTAGGTAAGTTATCTACAGAAATTTCTGTAGATAACTTATCTACGGAAATTTCCGTAGGTAACTTATCTACGGAAATTTCCGTAGATAACTTACCTACGGAAATTTCCATAGATAAGTTACCTACAGAAATTTCCGTAGATAAGTTACCTACGAAAATTTCCGTAGATAAGTTATCTACGAAAATTAGGTGAAACCGCTAAACACCTGCCACAAAACATCAATTGATCATAAGACCCAACAGTAGAAGTCAAGTTATTATTAATTAAAATAACAAATAACAATTACATGCAAAACTTCACTCAGAAAAAGAAGACAAGGCTAAAGATATTATAGAGTACCTCTCATAACAAGTAATAGCCGATTCCAAATCACCACGATTTTTAAAGATCACACCCATATTGCAATATGCTTCAGCATACATGGGCCTCTCTAATGCAGCCTTTTCATAGAAATTGAGGGCCATGTCATATTGCATCATTTCAGAATAGACCACACCAAGATTATAGTATGCAGGCTGCAAAGTTCATATAAAATAAAAATATATATCATGCAAATGGAAAGCTAAAAAAATTAATTCGTTTAATGAATAAGAAATAATTACATACAGCATAGTGCGGATCTAGCAAGTTAAAAAGTACAATTTTTTTTACCATGTACACTTTATTTGCCGTCCGAATCTCCACACCAGGTAGATTGTGAACCCACACAGGGATCCCTCTAAAATTAAACAAATGAGAGTTTTATAATACTCATAATGTAACACATGTAACTAAAGTAAAGAATACTATGTAACCTTTGTTGCCTTCGTTATAATTATTTTTTAAAGGATAAAATTTTCATACAGTTTATTAAGTGTAATTGGTATTTAAGGCAGAGTATATAATATTAAAGTAAAACTCTAATTCTATTAAAAAAATAGTATTAACTATATTAAAAAATTGTATTTAAGTTTTGTCAATTTTTAAAAAATATGAAAGGGTGAAGTGATATGAAGTTAAAATTAAGTACCCATAATCCCATTCAGCACAGACATAGGGGCCAATGCGAAGCACAGCAAAAAGTCCTTCATCTTGAATGGTCTTGAGAAATCTAATGAGATCATTATTGCCAGTGAAATCATATTGGCGACGAACAGGTTCATGTGCATTCCAGAAAACATATGTTTCAATAGCATCTAACCCTCCTTCTTTTGCTTTTTTAATCAAATCAGGCCACATCTAATGTACATAAAATAAAAAATGTTAACTAATAATTAATATCATGAAAGATAAACAAAAGAACACATTCAAAGAACAAATGTTAAAGGAATAATACCCCAGGTGTGCTTCTAGGATAATGAATTGATCCAGATATTAGCACCCTCCTCTTCCCATCAATTTTGATGGCTCTTCCATCATGAGTGACTTTAACGGCATTGATGCCATACATTAAAATTCATTAAAGTATGGACCCTTTCTCACTATACGTATCATGATGTCTTAACTAATTTAGATTTTATTTACATAATTATTTATAAATTAAATTTTAATATTTTAAAATCAAGTATAAATAAATAAAAATCTTATATTACAATATTTGTCAACATTCAACCCCTATATATTAAACATGAATCTCTATCTTACAAGAGTTATTAAACTAGCAAATGCAACAATTTCAGCAGAGTTATTGAACAGTGATAAGCATACCTCGGCAGCCTCCACCAGGCGATCCTCGTCTTTGTGCAGAATACCGCAATGCGTGTGAGCACAAGCATTCTGAGGATCCAGCTTGATAGCCTCGGAAAAAGTCTCAAACACAGGCTTTCCCTTATTCTGCATCTGAAGGCATATCCCTTTCCCAATGAGAGCCTCCACATTTGCGCCGTCACTCTCCAAGACACGCTCGTAGAGCGCGAGAGCTTCGACAAACTTGTTCCTCGAACGCAGTACGTTCGCATACGAAACGGCATCGTTCCCTTCGCCACCAGCAGAGCCACTAGGCTCTGCAGCTTCCGCATAACCGTTATCGCTAGTTCCTGCTAATTCCCGTTCACTCTCGTTCCCGTCGTTGTTCTCCACCCCTGCCATCTGCACAAACAAAACGTGTCACGGAAGCATAACAAGTGAGCAATAAATTCAATGAAGCAGAGGCAGCGACGTAGTCAGAATTCGTCAACACGAAATTGATCGCAGTGGAAGACGAGAGAGCGTACCCTAGCGAAGAAAGGAGCAGAGAAAGTGAAATTGGAGATGGCGCAGGAGGAGATTGAAGAAGCGAAGGTTTGGAGGGGGGAATTAGGGTTTTGCGAGTGAGGGAGCAGGGTAAATAGAAAGAAGAGTGTAGAGAGAGTTTTTTGAGAGTTTAAAAAAAGACGTAAAGAAGAAGGCGGAAGCAGTGAAGGTTGGGAGCATTCAATGGGAGTTGGCGGCAGCAACTCTCTCTCACTTTCCCCATTCAACAAACAGTGTGTGCTAAAGCTAAAACCTAGAGAGACCCCCTTTCCTCTCTATAGCATTCAAGCTGGGTTGCTTTTTCTCTCACCAAAGATACACATGAACGATCACATGCTTTGTTGTTGTGTTTATGTGTTTTTATTTTTCTTGACAAATAAATTTATTTATTTAATTATAAATAAAAAAAACTGGTTATTTAAGATATTAGTTGAAACTTATAAATAGTTTTTTTTAAGAAAAATAACTTGTTTTTACATCTTAAGATTCTTTTTCTGCGATTTAAGTGAATTTATCGCATAAAAAATATTTTTTTAATCCAAACAAAATTAAACATGTGTTATGTAACATCCCGAATTTTTTTACTAATACTACGAATAATTATTATTTATTTTTGTATTTATGAAGTTTAAAGGTTTTTAATAATAATCATTTATGAAAACTATTTTGTATAATATTATTAATTATGATATTTTGTTATAATTATTATTTGAAGAAAATCATCTTTTAAATTGTTTTGTTATTTTATTTTAATTTGATATATATATATATATATATTATTTATTTATTCATTAACTAATAATCCTGGATTTTCATAGCTTTGGAACGGGCCGTTCCACTTTTGGAACGGGCCGTTCCACTTTTGGAACGGGCCGTTCCAAATCAAGCATGCGTGGGTAAAATTTTAACCCAGAACGGGCCGTTCCACTTTGGAAATGGGCCGTTCCGGATGTGATTTTAAAAGAACAAAGTTTGACTCAGAACGGACCGTTCCACATTGAAACGGGCCATTCCGGAAAACCCAGAACGGGCCGTTCTGGATTTGGAACGGGCCGTTCTGGCCGCGGCCTGATGCCTATAAATAGAGCGTTTTGCACTCTCTAAAACTCATTTTTTTCACTTTCCAATATTTTTCCTCCTTCCTCTCTGAAGGCGAAGAGAAACCTAGAGGGGGCGACCAAACAAGATTCGGCTTCTATCGAGGTAAGGGGGGAGTGAGAAATCTTGCTCTGGGTGTGGGATTGTATGCTGGGTAGTGGGATTGGCCCCCAATCCTGTGTTTGTTGTATTTTTTGTATGTCTCTATGTATGAGGGGTTTTTTCCAACTGTATGAATTGAGATTTCTATGGGTTCCTATAGGAAACCCTAAGAGAATGTATTGATAATTGTAAGAGGCAAATTTTAAATGTTTTCTGTTTTACCTTCTGAGTTTTCTGTTGTGTTTCTTGATATTTGTTGAGTGTAAGTATGTGCTTAATTTTGAAAATAAATATGTTTTGATATGATTTAAAGTGCTCTATGGGTTCCTGCGGGAAACCCTATGAGAAATAGGAAAAATAGGAATATTTTATGTTTTAATTTCTAATTATTCTGTTATATTCATTGTTTGATGTGATGTTAAAATATGTATTTAATTTTATA